TGCAGGATATTCCGGTGAGGCAATTTCATTCTGTATGCTGTAGAGTATCAAATACTGTTGGTAACTACGATAGCACCCTGCCAAGTGTAGACCACATGGTGTGTGACCCTGTGTACATAGTGCACAGGGAGGAAACTTTTCATCATGTTTTATGTCATACCCCAATTGGGATCACTAAGACACTGCCTGACTCCACTGTGTCAGCTGATGACTCTGTTTGTATGAAGTAGGTTGGTGATGAATCCCCACATTATCATCATACCGAAAAACATGACGCTGTGGATGCGATCGAGACCAGTGATGTTGGTTGCGCTACACTTAGTCGCAATGTTGAACTGGGACTGAGAACAACGGAAGATTATGCCATAAATATGAATAGTGTTCGCAATATTGATGACTCTAGTTTTAACACTTCCAACGATGGGACTCCTAAACTGTCTAACAAACACCATTATACTGTAAATACATGTATACCACCACTAAGCATTACTAAGGACAATATCCAAGCTTCTGACAATCGCCCTACTTATTTGCACTTTTTAAATTTGAATGTGTGTGGAATAAGGAGGTGATTAGAATACCCCGAGTTCATGGATCTAATTGATAACAATGATATACTAGGCTTCCAAGAAACCAAAACTGATATATTCGATGATATCCATATTGAGGGTTACCATGTCTATCTCCAACATAGGAGCAGTGCTTTAAGAAGATCAGGAGGTGTCGGTTTTGCAATAAAAGAAAATTATGCTAAATATGCCAACCCCATTGAGGAAATGTGTGAGTATATTCTCTGGGTTAAAATCTCTAAGGAGCTATTTGATATCGAGCAAGACCTGTATTTAGGAGTAGTATATATTCCACTCGAAAATTCTAAATACTTTAATAAAGATGAATACTATCAACTTGAACAATCCATATTACATACTCTATCCTTGAGTGATTATGTTGTACTGATGGGCGATTTTAACGCTAAAACTAGTAACCTGTGTGACTATTGTACCACAGAGAAACAAATACTTGATGAGTTGGATATAGACATAAATGATTTGAGATCTGAACTCGACGCTGAAGCAGTACTCGATGATCTTTCTCTTCCAAGGGTTAGGTCGTCAAAAGATACATCACGAGTTAATAACTCGGGTGCAAAACTGATAGAACTATGCAAGAATCTGAAATTATTTATATGCAATGGGCGTATGGATCAAGATAAAATGGTTGGGAACACTACGTGTCTGGACAACAGTGTGATCGATTATGTAATCTCATCGACAATGAGTCTTCCTTTATTTAAGGATTTTGAAATTAAAAGTTACTGTTCATTGTTTTCTGATGTACATTGCCCAATAAGGTTTTCTCTAGATAAATCAAAATGTTCAGAAAGTCAAAACCGCACTACAAAAACAGTGAAAAATAAGACGGGCTGTGAACCTAAGCCCAAAAGATTCGAGAATACAAAAAGCCAGATATATTTTGATAATATCGATAGAGACCAGATTGATTGTCTTGTCAAATTAGCAAAGTCATTACGTTTGGGAGTTGCTGAACCAAGCACTATGAATGATATAGGAAACGAAATCGCACATGTCCTAGTCGACGCTGCATGTGCAACATTCGGGGTGAGATCTTGCTACCGGCGTGATGCGGACGCTCCCACTAAGAGAAAGCAAAAACCTTGGTTCGTTCACGAATGTAAAAAACAAAGGAACTACTTCCGTAAGGCTAAAAAGAAGTTTAAGAAAACTAACACTATTGAAAATAGAAAGCTTTTCCGAGAGCAATCGAAGGCATATAAGAAATGCTTAGACAAACATATCAAGAAACATAGAAACGATTTATGTAATTTATTCAGAGCCAATCGAAAACATAGTCCACGTGAATTCTGGAACGCTCTGAACAAAAATAAGAGTAAGGTAAATAACATTGAGCCTGCTATCGAAACATTTTATGAATTCTATAAAGATATAAATAAAGACAAGAATACAGACACAATTATTGATGAAGAATATCCAAATTCTACTATGCACGATGATGAAATGCTCAATAGTGATATCACAATAGAAGAAATACGCAAAGCTGTAAAAAGCCTGAAAAATAATAAAGCTTCTGGTATAGATCGCATTGCAAATGAGTATATAGTAAACTCCCTAGAATTATTAGCACCCGTATATCTTGATTACTTTAATGCCATGTTCAATACCGGAAACATACCAGATGCATGGCTAACCGGTGTGATCAAGCCAGTATTTAAAAAGAAAGGTAACCCACTAGATCCAAACTCCTACAGACCAATCACAATTTTGAGTTGCTTGGGGAAACTTTTTACGAGAATACTAAATACACGATTGTCATCTTTCACTGATAACAATAACATCCTGTCTCCCGTACGAGCTGGATTTAGGAAAAACTACTCAACAGTAGACAACATGTTTATCATCAATATGTTAATGCAGAGCCTTAAGTATAGCAAACAAAAGTTGTATTGTGCTTTTATAGATTTCACCAAGGCTTTTGACAAAGTGTGGAGAATAGGTCTTTGGCACAAACTGTTGAATAGTGGCGTCAGGGGTAAATTTCTCATCCTAATTAAAAATTAAGCGCAATCAAATCTATTGCCTCTAATGCCAAGAAAGCTATGTTCTGTCTCCTGAAGAGAGCATGAAATATCAATCTACCTCTCGATTGCGTTATATCGGCGTTTGATTCTATGGTATCACCTATCTTGTTATATGGTACAGAAATATGGGGGTACGAAAATTTACAAATTATTGAGCGTGTCCATTTAACATTTTTAAAATTTGCTACTGGATTAAGAGCATCAACTCCAAACTTTATGGTGTATGGCGAATTAGGCAGGGAACCTCTACGCATAACTATCTCAAAACGTGTAATTAAATTCTGGCAGAACATCGCAACACCTGTGTGATAAGAAACTTTCACAAATGATTTATTACATTGTTGAAAGGAATCATGATGTAAGCAATCCCTGGCTAGAATGGATTAAAACTATATTAAATAACTGTGGATTAACTCATATATTCTATAACCCTTATACTTGTAATACCACATGGCTGGTTGCAAAGGTAGGCCAGATACTACAGGATCAATTCCTACAAGAATGGAGATGCAATATGGCATTGAGCAGTAAAGGCTACTGTTATCAGTATCTGACAGAAAAACCAAAATTTGAAAGATACCTACTAATGACAAAAAATATGTATATTCCAATCTTAAAATTCAGAACATGTAACCATAATCTACCTATTGAAACCGGCCGTTGGAATAATGTAAAGAAAGAGGATCGTGTATGTGAACTGTGCAACTCTCCTTCAGCTGCAGACGAATTCCATTATCTGTTTAGATGCCAGGCTCTGTCAAAACATAGAAGTGTATACTTACCAACTGCTTACCAAAATAATTCGTCTAATTTATATACATTCAAGAGGTTATTATCCAGTCAAAACACGAGGTATCTTAAAAACCTATCGAGATTTATTGATGAAATATTTAAAGCAGTAAGAAAACACAAAACAGAAAAGATATAACATATTCATGCATGACATACTGTCATCTTGTCACATATTAATACTTTGTTTACATGCTTGTACTTTTGTACTCTTTTGTACCACCGACGGTGGTTTGGAGAATAATAAACTGAACTCAACTAGGCATTCCCTTCGTTCTGGCGGCTGTATGAAGACGAAAAACATCCCAGTGTCACCCACATAGTACGGGTAATTTACATGTTCGTCTTGTCTCGAAATATGAATTGTAAATAGTGTATCGTGCCAAATATATGGTGAGTTGCTGAAAAAAATACAGTAGTTTCAAGAAAGTGGAAATTGTATTTATAATGTTAAGTGTATTTTACAACATGAACCAGGTTTATATTGTATCTTGTAAGTGATGTCGGGATTGAGTTATCGCCCTTGATGAATTGTTTGTTTATTGCAGGGTTAAGATAATGATTTTGTATATCATTGATTATTAAGTTCATGTTTATGTACAGAATATAGACGTATGTTTATATGAGATGAACATCCTTAAAAGGGCTGTACATAATGTTGATATCTCATATAATCATTAAACGACTCGTGGTTGTTGTTTTTTGTACAATAAAACACTCGCCCCTCATGGTTTATTCTCCCTGCAGTGTTGTATTGTACCCCCACCCGTCGTTTATTTCTTTAACAGTGGCCCGCTCATTTATGATAACATGTGGGCGGTTTAATGATAATTTTATCCATTTTAACTATAAAATAGTGTGAAGCGGGATGCTTTGCAGTCAGGTTGGAGCGGATGAAAATATGATAATTAATTTTGTATTTCAAATTGGTCTGTGAGAATTTTGCCTTTCGTGAATATGCTAGCCGTGTATAATATTGCCTCATGGAGAAACTCACTGGCCTGTGATTATTTCTGTAACTGACAGTGTAGCCGCGAATAGCTGCAATACTGCTGATGCGGCTTTAAGCAATATTACTCACTCACTCACTGACGGTGATAGTTTTGTTTCCAGCTTTCGGACACATTAATGTTTTCACTATCATTGGACATTCATGTACACAATTTCTTTTGTTAAATTATATTGAGCATGTTGAGGGTTTTATTATAAAGTACATAGGAAACTGTAACAACGGGAGATGACTCAGACTTTGTGTATGTAAGTAACAGCATTTTCAAGCTCAAGTCATAATTTTGCTAAATGCGACTTGGAGAATGAAGAGCATGGAAGAAGCATGACCAAAGGACTACTAACGTGCGCATGCGCCTTGACCTTATGATATTACGCATGCGCACGGACAGCGTCTAAAACCCGAGAACACGAGAACGCGAGATCGTGAGATAATGAAATGTCGCATTCTCGCGTTCTCGCGATTTCGTGCTTTTGTGGCCTAATTTGACAAGTCGAGATTGCGAGATTGCGAGATTTTGCATCATGTCCAAATGTCGCATTCTCCCTTTGTCGACTTCTGACAAAAAGTGCTATGTACCAAAAACACGAGAATGCGAGATTTTGGCCAAATCTCGCGTTCTCGCGATCTCGCATTCTCGTGTTTTGGGCATTTATGAGAATGTCCCTTACAGTATTCCATAATATTTATGACATATTATTATATATTCTTGTTTTACTTTTAAACAATAAAAGCTATATATGATATAAAAGATATACATATGTTACATGGAATATGTATAACCCCTGAAATTTTCAGGGAATATATTTAATGTTTGATTCTCTGAGGGAATATACATAATCCCTAAATTTTTCAGGTATTATACATATTCCCTGATTTAACATCAAGGTTTTTTTAGACATATTCCCTTTATATATATCGGTCGGTCACATCGCCTCTTTCAGACACCTTTAACACTATTTTTTCATTTCAGAAATATAGTAAGTAACTAAAATTGCCATTCTTGTTAATTAAAGGCTATATGAGCCTTTCGTTATATTTCCTTTGAACCTATTCATTTTCTTTTTAAAAAACGCCAGTCGGTTTCTTCATACTTTCTCTGTCCGATTTCAATTTTTCTTCTTCATCGGCTGGGGCTGTGGCAGACTTTCGTGAAGTTTTTATCTTGGCCTTCGCTCTCGGTTTTGTCATTGTCTGGAAAATAAAAAGGGAAGCAGATGCTGTTGTGATTCGCAGGGTGACGCACGACGACATGGTGTTTCAACCCGTGTTCCCCGGCCGCGTCATACCAAAAGACGCTACAAGGTGGTACTTGCTGTTACTAGGGCTGGGACTAGTCCAAATTTACTACCGGGTACCCACCTCCCTATTACCCGATCCTACCCGGGTACCCGCTGTAGGTCTCAAGAGATAGGTACAAAATGTCCGATTGGGAAACGTTTGACCGTACTTCTGTCAAAATGTATTTAGATACAGGTATAAAATGATTTGGTCATGCATACTGAGTGAGTGAGTGAGTATTGTTTTACGCCGCTTTTAGCAATATTCCAGCAATATCACGGCGGGGGACACCACAAATGGGCTTCACACATTGTACCCATGTCGGGAATCGAACCCGGGTCTTCGGCGTGACGAGCGAACGCTTTAACCACTAGGCTACCCGACCGCCCCTTCATGCATACTGAAGTTGACTGAAGTTTTATCTTTATGCAAACATATAAAGTCAGAAGGAATGTGTGCATAGTCGGAAAGAAATGTGAACATTTGTCACTTATAGTGTAACCATAGAGTTCTATGTGTTCGGAGATGACATCGCATCAGCTCAATAAATATTATGCACTGATATTATTTCGTTTAAGTACTCCAGAATACAGTGTCTTCACCACTGAGGTCGAAGCACTGGTTCAAATACAATGTACGTTGTGATTATCTAAGACACATTAACAAGAGGCAGTTGGTTTAAAACAGACAGAGAGGCAAGCCGTGAAATGACAGTAAGACGGACAGACGGACGGACAGTTGTTGGTTTGCACCCTGGTTCCTGACAGTGTCCATTTACTGACCTATTGTTATATTTTTTGACGCCTACGACAACTGCTGCTGTCGTGCCAACGAGCGCCACAGCACCGACGACTAATCCCACTGTCAAAGCTACAGGGAATCCGTCTGAAACATCTGAAACATTCGACATACGAATATAAAAAACGACATGTTGTAGATAGATAACAGCGCTATGATCACAGAGGCAGTCGAAACGTTCCATATATATGGCAACCTCAAGTGGACCACTAATTTTAGTTCGTAATAACCGTATTTCGTTGTACATTGAATACCTATAACTGATAACACATTTAGAATTTTTCTTGTGCTGTCTTTGTACTTGTCTGGACAAATCACAGATATCTGGCGTGATCATACCAAGTAGTTGGTAGAATTATGTCCTCTTTTTGTCCAATTCGGACCTCCATACACAACTTTTCTCTGTACCGCGATACGATGGAGTTCTCTCCCTTGTCAAACAGAACGCGAGGCCCGGCTTTTACTCGGAGCTACTAATGTAAATAATGAACTTTTATGAGTAAAACATGCATTGTTAGATAAAATGAATGACATTTGATATAGAGAACACGAGTAATCATAAAGGTTAGTGTGTGCATTTTGTTCCGTTTAGCGTAAATGACAAGTACCGCGATACCCCGAGGTTGCAGGCTATATTACGGCGTGTCAGCTTAATGCGGGAGGAAAGCCCAAAGTGATGCAGGTCTCAGACGTTTACCACTTCGGTGAAACCCACGAGCACGGGTATGCTGCTGAAGAACCTAGAAACATTATCGGGGCGAACCGGGATTCGAACGCACAATCATAGGTTTCTGGCGTGCCCAAGGGGCGCAACTCTGCACACTTAGACGACTGGGCCACCCGTACTCCCCGTACACTTGGTAGATGTAGTGTGTGTGTGTGTGTTGTGTATATCAAATATTAACACATATTGTACAACAAATACTTACTGGTTTCTTTGTTACAGGCCCACTGAAAGAACACCGCCTCAGTTTGATCAGTGAGGTTTGTCTCCACCAGGTAGATGTGACACGTGTTCGTGGTGGAGAGGAATTCTCCCGCTATACACAACTCAGTCGTGTTACAGAGAGTCTTGCAGGCACTCAGGCTCGTGTCGGTCGCCGTGTCACTCCACAGGCTGTCCGACCCCTTCTGTCCCGGAACCTCACTGAAGCTGCATGATTGACCTGACGCACAAGAAGTCAATGGTGAGTGAGTGAGTATGGATTTACGCCGCTTTTAGCAATATTCCAGCAATATCACGGCGGGGGACACCGGAAATGAGCTTCACACATTGTACCCATGTCGGGAATCGAACCCGGGTCTTCGGCGTGACGAGCGAACGCTTTAACCACTAGGCTACCCGACAGCCCCCAGAAGTCAATGGATTTAAGCTTCTTATAAAGAATAGAACCGACATATCTCTACACTCCATGATACAAAGGATAGAATCCACAGAGTATTAATGCATGGCTACACAAACATGAACAAACAAACCGGTTTTAGAAATACCCCAGAGAAGATACGCCTGACAAAGTTCTAAAGTAAAACCGTCAGCTTCAATAAACCCTGATTGCTCTTTGGGTTTATTCTTCTAAATATTAGTTTTGGTCTTAAGGGTGTTTTGAGTATTAGAGATTTTTCATGTCTTAAGACAATACAGTAAACTACGGCTATTAGTCTATATAGCGAACTCAAAGGGACTACAAATTTTAGTTCGTTATAACCGTAGTTCGTTATAGGCATATATACAGCACATATACAGCAAATGGCAGGGACCTAAAAACTAGTTCGTTATATCCGCCAGTTCGTTATAAGCGTGTTCGTTATAAACGTAGCTTACTGTAATGACAAAAGATAGGTCGATTAAAGGTTTAAACAAATGTCGCATTACCTTTGGCCACAGGAAACACAATAACAACAAGTGGAAACATCAGCATTCTCCCTGGCGTCATGGTCGGAGATGCTGAAACAGAAACACTGGAAGACTAAACGGATCAGGTGAGGCGAAGGTGAAATGGGGTTTGACGCCGCGTTCAAGATTATTGTACTTCTATAGCGAGGTGCATGCCTGTGTATGTGTTTGTGGCTGCTTGTACTAGTCGGACTTATGCCGATTTATAGTGCTAGCCCACTGAGATACCATGCCGCAGTTTAACATGAACACCCCACTTAGACACAGTATACTGACTCCGAGCCGACCAGTCTTTGTTTTAGACCCTTAATGCCGAGCGCCAGACAGGGTAACAACAAGTACCATCTTTGAACGTCTTTTTGTTTGACGCGACAGGGTGTCGAACCACAGACCTTCCTCTCCCCGGGCAGACACTCCGTCCAGTAGACCACAGACTACAATTGTAAGGTTTCCTTACATACGCATGTCATGTATGGCGTCGACACTGAGGGGTCTCTGAATTTCGAAAGGCTTTTGTCCTTTTGCTTCAAGTTTTATAGTGTCTTACTTTATAGCGTCTATTATTGCTGTCATATGCTCACCGACTTCCCAAACACCCCGCTGACATCATTAAAAATGTGCAACGATTCGTGAGGACTGGTTGTTTGGGTATTTGTCACTTTCTTTTCCTTTTATCGAGGATAATGAGAGTACAATGTTCGGAGTATGAATAGCTGTTTCATATATTTTTATACGAATGCAATTAATGTGCATTCAATGTATTGTCTACTTGTCATCGTGTATCCGTCCCGGTAACAACATTGAAAACCGGCCCTTCAAAATACAGAAAACTACGTTTATATCGAACTCAAAAGCTACTATTTTTAGTTCGTTATAACCGTAGTTCGTTATAAGCATATATACAGCATAACTACGGCAAATAGTTGGGACTGAAAAGTTAGTTCGACATATCCGTCAGTTCGTAATAAGCGTGTTCGTTATAACCGTAGTTTACTGTATGTCGTAATGAGGTTGTTAAAACGGTTATATCGAAGCCTATAGACCCTGAGAACATGATGTTCTATTGCGATGTTGTCTTGTGGAAACCAGAGAATAAATGGTAGCTCAACTTCACTGAATTATGTTACTGTTTTACGAATATTAAACACGGTTTTTTTACGCATGAGAACATAATATTTATCTTTTAATGTTCTTCAGTCTGTAAATTATTCATTCACAGGTGATACATGATATTGTGGCATATCGCATTGCCTATTTAATTCATCGAAGTCTTTGAAGGTATACAAATTCAGTACACGTTTTTAGATTCTAGACTTATACGTCTTATTAGCATTTGAATGTGGTATTTATTTCATTGTTCATTCTAGTGAGGATAAATAAGAGAAGCAAACATTCTTCTTCACAAAGCTGTATGACGACTACCTTCCAGGGTTATCTGGTAATCATAGGTGAGGTGAAATGGGGTTTAACGTCACGTCCAAGATTATTGCACTTAAATAGCGACCTGCTTGAACATATGTGTGTGTGTGTGGCTGCTTGTACTAGTCGGACTGATGCCCACTCAGACACAGTATACTGACTCCGAGCCGACCAGTATTTGTTTAAGACCCTTAATGCCGAGCACCAGACAGGGTAACAACAAGTACCATCTTTAAACGTCTTTTGGTGTGACGCGGTCGGGGATCGAACCCCGGACCTTCCTCTCTCCGTGCGAACGCCATACCACTAGACCACGGAGGCGGTTCTGGTAATGATTAAACACATTGTTTTTAATTCATTTCCTGTTGAGGTCATGTATGCCTGCTTAATTGATTTTATCCAAAGTCAAAATGGATAATAGTGTTTGATAACTGTTGCAATGTTTACTGGATTGTCACGGTGGGTATATTTTCAAACGGACTATCTAATAAAAGTGAACGTGTATATCATATCAGAAGCACCCCATTGAGAGTGTGTTAGAAACATATTTAATTCAGTGTTGTTTGCATATATGGATGTATAAACATAAAACCACCGTGCTCAAGCTGACATATATACATTATGCATAGGTTGCGTTGCCTTGGTCGTGTAAATATAGCGTGCCAAGCTTTGCATGACCCATGGCAACTGGTTTGACGTTAAACTTAACATGCATAGTAAACACCTCCAATTTTAATCAACAACGTGCCAGAATACATTGTCATGTGTACTACAGACGTTAAGTAAGTATGAAAAGTCTGAAGGAGAACAATGTATTAGGCAGTTTAATATTTAATATTGCCATTTTCATACAGTCGTGCCTCACTGGATTCTACTTGCTGAACATGTGGATAATAGGAGAACCGAACACTCCTCCACACAGTACGTGTAGGTTCACCCTCTTCTCCGATTGCATTGGGAACCCCAGGACTTTTGATTGTTGGTTTGAATCCCAGTTCGCCCCGATTGTTTCTAGGTTTGTCAACACCATACCCGTGCTCGCGGGTTTCACCAAAGTGGTAAACGTCTGAGACCTGCATCATTTTGGGCTTTCCTCCCACATTAAGCTGACACGGTGTGATATAACTGTAATCCTGTCAAAAGAGGCGTTAAACCCCACTCACTCACTCTTTTCCAATTGTCGTTGCATCACTGACATTTCGTTGAGATTTATGATAATATAATCGTTTGAGTGTTTTTCTGTATAATCTGTCATTACAAAGGCCATATACAGAACTAACTTGTCATGGAGAATGGTCGTATTCTGACTTCTAGAATAAAACTACATTGGATGATGTTTCCTAATTCACTGTTAAATTATTGTTGCATCTGATGAAAGTTTGACCTGCGTGAAAATAAATTTGCAGGAAGCCAATAGAAATAATGGACATAGAAGGTATCATGATGATATAGATAGTCTGTCTCACAGTCCCTGGACCATATTATTTTCCCTTCCGCCAGCCCTTTCTGTAATGCAAAAGCCCTAAATGAAGCAAGTCTAGATTTTCCACAAATTCACTGGGACTTCTTTCAATTTAAATGGAGTTTCTTTGTTTCTATCCAAATTATATATATTCAGAGACTAAGCGTTAGTCTATGATATAGACAATGACATTTTTTTATTAATACAGGTAACTGTAAATATATGCATCGTCCATCCAAAAGATAATCATATACATGTTTGCATTTAATATGGCGATTCAATCATGTTCTGGGGTATAGATTTCGAGGGTTCGAGTACATTTTGTTTCAGACCAAAGCATTATTATCTGACATTCCCATTACAATCAGATCGTTTGATCTGATACGATACCTCTCCGCGTTAAAAATCATCGATGAAAGGAAGACATAAGCGGCCTTTTAAAAAAGAATTTGGTGGTTGTTAGGCCAAGCAGGTTTCTAAAAAGATGCGGCTTCATTTGTTTGCCAACTCGATTCGGAAATCTGATCTTTAGAAAGGAAAACTCACACAGAACACTACTGTCCCTTCCGATGTACTCCTTCTTTTAGTGTAGATGACACTAAATGACAGGTTATATTATTTATCCGCAACAATGTAATTGCGCGTACTCTTTCATTTCCATTCGAAACTGCCCGATTTCTTCATTTTCGAGACACAGATATTAGATATGCTTCGCTCACGCTCTTAACTTCGAATATAGAAGCCTCGGCGCTGATTTGCCACTTAGAAACATTACTCCACACCGAATAGTAACAGAGCGGAGCTGGCCAAGATTGACTTGCAGTGACATACATGGACATACACGGACTTTCATTGGCTAACAATGTACCACTGTTATTGGAAGTGATTCACCACACATGATTCATATAAGTTGTATTAGAATATACATTGCTATGATTAATATTGGAAGATATCACTTAATTTTAGAACATGGATAATGCAGAACTTTACGTGTTTTGTTGTTACTTGTTGTCTTAGCTATAAACAAGCAATCAATGACACACACACACACACACACACACACACACACACACACACACACACACACACACACACACACACACACACACACCTCCCTCACACTCACAATATCAATCCTTAAATTATTACCGCTTTGTCATATCTCTCATTGCAATTATACACCTACCTACCCACCTACACACACACACACACACACACACACACACACACACACACACACACACACACACACACACAGAGGCGCACACAAATCATTGCTCTCTCGTTACATACACTACATAATGGCATACATTGTGATTTACCTACCTACACATACAAAACAACACATACACATATACGCACACAAACACTCACATGTACCAACACACACACACACACACACACACACACACACACACAAATCAATGTTCTCTCGTTACATACACTACATAATATCCTAATCGTGATTACGTTGTACGTTGTGAGCACATTTGTCATAACGACGACCACGTATACACAGCTAGTTCATCTGAAAAGTAGTTAATCCGGTTGGTTTTACTGGATATACAGGATTTATACATACAAATATACTTTATGTGCCTACTACAACAACGTCCCTGTACACGACTACTACACCGTTACTGACAACACGACCAGGAACACCATCATGCTTCACACATACTCTCACCTATCCGGTGCGCTCACAACTCCCGTCCGCCTCAAGCTGTCGCCTGTTTACGTAATATGTCCGGCGTCGTCTGTTGTATACCGTCAACTCTAACCACGCATAACGGATACCACGATCACGCTTCTGGCCATCCGGATCAACTCAGTATCTGTTAATGTCTGTCAGTCTGATCTGTACACATCTGTACACATGAGTGGGTGTACAACAGCCCCGGTACAATCCAAGTATGTTATGTGAAGTTTCCAAGGTTGCACCTGCCGTAGCGAGACAGAACTACATTTTGAAACGCACCAGTGCATAGTGTATATGTGTTTAGGCTGTTCCGCTTCACAAAAAGTACATTATTGAATGGTGTCTTCCGGGTATTTATTTACGCCGCTCTCGGCCATAACCTAGCTACACCGCGGAGTTATGGGTGAGGCTTTGGTTAACTGTGCATGTTTATTTACAGGTTCAATGATGAGGGTGTGGTGTACTGTGCAT